ACACTGAGTACAATATTGTATAACTGTATTAATTCAACTATAAACCTAAAAATTACAGCCAATTTTGAAAGAGATGCATCTTAACTCTGGAAATTTTTATTGAATATATCAAAAAAGCTGTAATGGAATGCTTCTTCTAATTATGTGGGTATTAAATTAAAAAAAAAATTCTTCAAAGCATAAAAATTTGCTCCTTAATAATTAGTAATATGAAAAACATTACCATTGAAATCTACCTGATGACTTTATATCCATGCTCAGATGCCAAGAACTCAGAAGGTAACCGACTGTGACTAGTAATAATCAGATATACAGAGATTAGAAAAGCATGTGCAAGCATCTTAGTGTCAATGGCATTAAAAATTAATTTTTTAATATGAAACTGTGTATTTTAATAATGAAATGGAGATCTTTTTTACAGGTTAAAACCTCATTTAATTTTATGTCTTAAAGGGCTTATACTGAGTACAATATTGTATAACTGTATTAATTCAACTGTAAACCTAAAAATTTATAGCCAATCTTGAAACAGATGCATCTTAGCTCTGGAAATTGTTATTGAATATGTCAATGCTGTTGTCATGAAATGCTTCTTCTAATTATATGGTTATTAAGTAAATAATTAAAAAACAACAACAACAACAACAAAAAAAAAACGAGTGAGATCATGGATTCCATCTCCAACACCATAAAGACATTTTTTTTTAAATAAGGAAAAACTAGACTTAATCCAGGAAAACAGCATTTACAAATCACATATATGACAAAAAACATATTTAAAATATATGAGGAACCCTTTTTAAAATTTATTATTTTAATTTTATGTATATGAATATTATGCGCCCATGTGTTTAAGTACACCCACTCCATGCAAGGCCTTCAGAGGTCAGAAGAAGGTGTTGGATTACCTTGGAACTGGAGTTACGGACGGTTGTTAGCTGTCATGTGGGTGCTGGGAATCGAACCCTGGTCCCCTGCAAGAGCAGCCAGTGCTCTCTACCACTGACCATCTCTCCAGCCCTTTAATAGCTATTCTTAACCAAATCCTCACAAATCCTCTGTTCTTCAGCCCTATAGTTTTGTTTTTCCCAGAATATCATGTAAGAGTTATGGTATGTAGCCTTTTGATTTTGACTTCTTTAACTTATGCACGTTGAGTTTTAAGAGTTTTAACTCCAGTTCCAGGGGAATTCAATGCCCTCTTCTGACCTCCTTGGGAACTGCACAAGATGAGTACACTTACACACATGCAGGCAAAACACTCATACACATAAAATATTTTAAAAATTGCTATTAACTTCAAAGGACAGCATGTGGGGATCTCTGTACTGGGCATAGAATTGTTACATATCATGATCATGGTAATAATTACATGTTTGTGAAAGCATGTAACCACATACCTAAGTGGATTTCACTGTATGAAAAACTATATAAAAAAAAAGCCTGAATAGTAATTAAATAAAATTTAACATAAGAGAACATTTTATTCAGAGTCAAACACAGCATTTTACCGGTGCTGGGACTGCAGTCTTTCTAGTGGCTCGGCCTTCCGTTGAATCCCTTCCTGAAATACCGTATCAGCTTTCTTAAAGTTTTCTCTAGCTTCATATTCTTCAGCCCACGAAATATAGAACTGAGCAAGTGAAACGCCAATCCCTTGGCTGTGTAAATAACTGTACATGTCCAATGGCTCATTGCACAAATGCCCCTGTAACAAAAGTGTTAACAGTCAACCAATATTCTTCCACTTATCAAATGTCTGTTATGAGTCAAATAATCACTGGAAAAACTACCTACAATTCCTGCATTAAAGAAAACATATTTATTATAATGTAGTGGGATAAGGACCATACTTGGAGAACCCAAAAAAGGAACAAAAGGGACCAATTTGCAAGAAAAAGGGGTAAAAAAGAATGGCTTCAAACAGGAGGTGACATCTGAACTTTGCCTTGAAAGAAAAATGGACTTCCATCAGGTATAGAAGGGAATGGGAAGGGTATTCCCTTTATGCCTAGCATTAAGTGAAGACTAAAGGCCTACCTACCAACAGGGAGGGACTCTGGTTAAGAGCACTGGCTGCTCTTCAAAGGACCTAGGTTTGGTTTCCAACACCCACACGATTGCTAACAATCAGCCTTAACTCCAGGCCCAGGGAATCTGACACCCTCTTACCTCTCTGTAAGCACTGCATGTACATGGCACATTTGCATCAATACAGGCAAAACACTCAAACACATAAAAATAAAAAATTTAAAAGTTTATCAGGTTCAGGCAAGATGGGAGTCTAGAGGAAAAGACTATGACAGGTCTTGAATATCAAACTAATCAATTTTACATTTACTTAGTAGTAAAGGAATCAACTAAGGAATGGGGGTTGGAGAGGTGGCTTAGTAGTTAAGAGCACTGTCTACTCTTGCAGAGGACCCAAGATCAAATCACAGTAACCACATGGCAGCTAACAACCTTCTATAACTCCAATTCCAGGGGATCTGACGCCCTCTTCTGACCTCCATGGCATTGCACAACATGGGTGCACGTACATGCATGCAAGCTGTGCACTGATACACATAAAATAAAAATAATTAAAAAAATTATTTGTTAAAGCAAAGGAATGGGTGGGTCAAGAATGCATTTAAGAAACTGTAAAACTAATTACAACATAGAAAATTAGAGTAGTATAGCTAAGAGATAGAAGCAACCTAAGTACCCCATAACTGACAAGTGGTTAAATAAATGTGGTATATACACAACAGAGTTCTATTCAGCAGTAAAGAAAGATGAAATAATGAAATTTGCAGGTAAATGGATGGATCTAGAAACAGTGATAATAAATGAAGTAACACAAACTCAGAAAAAACAAATGACGTATGTTCTCTCTCCCTCATATGTGGATCCTAGCACCAAAACCTTCTAAATTCCATATCCCTTTTAATAAGATGATATTGTACAACAGTCCCTTCTGCATGAAATAACTACCATCATCACAACTTCAGCTGCGCCTGATCGCTAAACAGTGTCACAACTGGGCTTGTTGACGGTTGTGCTCATTCATTAAAGGAGGGCCAAGCAGGGTCATTGGACCCTCACCAGAGGGTATGTAATTTGGCCCTAATCACCCAGGGTCTCCTGGATTTGGGGAGGGCTAAAGTATAAAATCTGGGAAAGGCTAGGGAGACAAGGCATGACCCATGCTGCGTAAAGGCTTTTCAGTGTGTATACCCTCAGGTCATACATATACCTCAGCAACCACTCAGTTATCTCGGTAAATAAGCTCAGTAAATTCATTGGTTGCCCAGTAAAACATCAATCAAATATTAGCTTGACACTAGAACCTTAAAAGGGAATAAGCATTGCTTAGTATCCCCAGGAAAAGAATTCTCACAACAGGTGGAAAATTTCTTTGTTAATGCTATTATGTCTCATAATTATTAAAAGAAAAAAAAGGGGCTGGAGAGATAGCTCAGCGGTCAAGAACACTGGTTGTTCTTGCAGAAGACCTGGGTTCGAATCCCAGCACCCACATGGCAGCTAATAACTGTCTGTAACTCCAGTCCCAGGGGATCCAATGGCCTCTTCTGTCCTCGCATAGAAAAAATGAGAAAGCCTAAGCAAGTAATGAAGGTCTGTTTAGGTTTGTTATATATAAAGGATGAGACAAAAATAATATATACATAATCTTAAATTGTCTGTGGTCATAGTTTAGTCAACTAGTTTAAGGAACAAAATAAATATCTAGTCAAGGTTTATCTAAGAATATTTGGTTTTTTACCCAAGCTTTATCTACATAGCACATGGTAATTAGAAGTACCAGAGACTGGTGGAACTAACCTTATTGGATGTTTAACAGCCATACTTTTGAGGCCTATACTAATCTGGTCAGAGGGACTTAAAAGACAGTTTTTGTCCCTTGCCCTCCAAGGTCAATTAGGTTCCAGGGGACTATGGAACATCTCTCAAAATGTCCTGTAGCTGTGGTGAATCACCTGTCCTCTTGTTCAGGGAGGCCATGGAGACCCCAAAAGATGAACTTGAACCAGTGTCCAGTCTGCAAAGAGGAGGGTCAACACAGAGGAAACATTTTCTCCATGCTTCCAAGCGAAGCCCAGGGC